ACCAAGATGTAAAACCACCTTCACACAAGTCCAGTAAATTGGTTTTCAATCAACCAATGTAAGAATGGAAATATATATGACTATAGCTGATCTATATCACAAAAAAACTCAGTAAATTGTGCTTCGGTTGCTATATTTTTGTCAGATTCAGAATTGAGAAAATTGGTTGCAGTTAAAAATCAAATAACTGAAATCCGATTATAATTAATCTGAGATTTGTGCCTTTTTAAAATAATCTCAGCACAGGTCACAGTTGTGAGTCTGCTCTGAGCTCCTGTAGCCGATATTGTGATAGTTCGCTATCATGGAAACAGTAGGGTGTTAGCTGCAGGGAGATCTTGATAAATAGCAGGTGCTTGTTGATCACAAATGTCACTCACGAAGTGAAATGTGGGGAAATACATTAGTGATCAACACTTTCCGTACAGCACTTTCTTCAACAGTTTCCATATACCTGCTCCTTGGTTTCCTTCCGACAACAGTCCTAATACCAAAAAAGGTCATTTTTTAAAGTCTCCATCATAAAGAATAAATGAAACCCACAACCACCTTCACCACTACTCTTGACGAGACAAACAGTTTCTGACAGGAATATGACTTACAAGTCCTGAAATATGGAAATCCTTTCAAGGATAAAAACTTTGTTAAAGTTTCTGCCACGGTTCAGTTGCATAAATCCAACCAGGCGCAATATACTAACTGAAGATGTATGACAAGGATCATAAAATCACTGCCTCGATCTGAGCTTCCGGAATTGTTTGATGATAATTGCTCCCACAAAAACACAGCCATATCACGAGCTCCTCAGAGCATTAAGTCAAGCCATGGAACAAGCCTTGAATAGTGGCGGTATGATTTTCTGCAACAGTGTAATTCCTGGAATGAGGCACACACTCCGGTCCTGCCCAGCATATGAAGCTTATAAAACTAGCGCTGGGCGACTGAAAAACCAGCAGAAAACATCCCAGTTGAGAGGGGTTTGGATAATGAAGTGGTTGTGCCAGTGTTTATGTAGCTGGCTACCATCAGATCCTATTGGGATGGCCTGCAGCCGGAACATGGCTGTCATCAATTAACCTTCACACCACTGGAGGCAAAAGTCCTTTCATATTAAGTAATAATAAAGTTATTAAATCACCCAAAACATAAAGAATGAGTATTTACTTGAATCTACATGAAATTTCCTTTCAACTGAGTACCCATATGATGGTTTGACAAAAATATATCTGAACCTCACTGAACCAAATTGTTTGAAGTTTCATGAGTGGGTATTTGTTTCAAAGAAGAGAAAAAAATGTTTTCACTAGAGTACCCATAAAAGCCTTTGCTTTTAAAAGTCACAATATAATAAACTGTTTAAAACACCTCATTCATATGTATATATTTTCAGCATCTAAATGGTTAACAGGCCAAAGCACCAGACTCCTAACATACCTCAGCCTCTTGGCACAAGGAACGCCTGTGATAGTCCTAAAAAGATATCTCTGAACTGACACCAATAAAATGTTAAGGTAAGAGGAACATTCGTTAATAAGCCGCCATTGAGATAAGACGAAGTACTTCTGATTACGTTTGTCAATAAAATGTTACAGAAGAATTCTTGTGAAAGGACGTTAGCAGAAAGCTAATCAATTTTCTTTGAATAACACATGACTAGATTGATAGTAGACAGTAATAACCTGTGTTAAGTGAAGCATGAAAATTATAAGTTAAAATAGAAGGAAGACTTTATATCCAACAAACCAATGCATGAACCATCACATTTCACATCAGTTATTCTTTACAATTCAAGGTTCTGGGATAATGGGTATTAGCATCTATCAATACTGTATCTTACATCCTCAGCAATTTATGTACCTCAACACAACGTTATACGACACTTGCGACAATGCACATCATTAGTCAACAGTGACTGTTGCTACTAATTAATGACAATGTCCATCATTGGTGCCTGTTGTCACTTGACATGATCACAATACGATGACGTCACTTTGGCAACTCCACCCACATGGATGCACCTGGTACCAGCCTGCTACTTGGAGTCAGTTCATTCTGACGTCATGTTGGAGTTCAGGCCAATCAGTGGGGTGCTCTTCCTCGACAAGGCAATAAATGATACAGGCCTAAATCGACTGACATAAACACCTTACACAAAATCCATTGTTTATAAGACTGATATTGATTATGCCACAAGATTCCAGCCATGCTGTTTGCTTTTTCACTAATATGACAAATAGTCAAGTCTAAACCAGACAATCCAGTGACTGATACTGGACCAAAATGTCATCTCATGTCGTGAAGTGAGTGAGTGAGCTTAGTTTTATGCCGTACTCAGCAATATTCCAGCTATATGGCGGCAGTCTGGACCAAACAATCCATTGATCAACAGCATGAGCATCGATCTGCACAACTGGGAACCGATGACATGTGTCAACCAATTCAGCAAGACTGACCACCTGATCCCGTTAGTCGCCTCTTACAAGCATGGGTTACTGAAGATCAATTCTAACCCGGATCTTCATGGGTTGAAGTAATATGAGAGAATCAGGTGTTCTATAAATTGTTTTGAGAAGTGTATAACATAAGCAAGTTGTCTTGACCCAGCACATGAGCACCACTCAGCCACGTGTAGGGCTGGGACGATTCACCGATGTATCGATGCATTGCGATACATTTAAGTTTGAGACAGCTATCGTATTGTCGACTAATGTATGGATACAAAATGATACACAACTTTTTTTTGAAACAGTATTATCTTAAACATGTTACAGTACTTATTTAGAGAAAAATACACAAGTATGATGGAGTTACTTGTTTGTTTATTGCAATAGTGTTATTGTCAAACACAAATAACTGGGAAAAATCATTTGAAATCTTGATACCGCGTCATTCTTTCAAGGTGTATCTATCGTGATACGTATCATATCGCAGGTAAAATATCACGATATGTATCGCATCATGACATAGTGTATCGTCCCAGCCCTAGCCATGTGTCTCCACACAGACACCATTTCGATATATCTCTGGTTAATAGGTTCATAGACAGCTTTTTGCCTCCCATCACCCGCTTATCAAATGACATCTCTGGATAGGATATAGAAGATTGCACCATAGCGCAAGAAATTATCTAAACAGATCCTTCAACCACGCATGTACTTAAGTAACTTCTCCATCAGTAATTAACACACACAGCTGTGTGGCTTTAAGGTTTGTCAATAAGGCACATCAAACAATATGGACATACAGTTAATTAATTAAATATCTATCCCAACTTTTATACTTTCCGGTATGGTCATCAAACCTTCACCGACACCCAATAAAAATTGTGGTTTGATGTTTTGACAGCAAGACTGACTGTCAGACTGAGTTTGGTTTTACGCCGCTTTTAGCAATATTCCAGCTACATCACGGCGGGGGACACCAGAAATGGGCTCCACACATTGTACCCGTGTGGGGATTCGAACCCGGGTCTTCGGCGTGATGAGCTAACAATTTAACCACTAGGCTACCCCACTGCCCCTCTTTGATGACAAGAACATTAGTATAGTGCTAGGAGAGCAATAACATATCAACCTAACCAACAAACTATGTTATCAGCCAAAATGGGACTTCCTGTTATGTGGACAGGTATTAGAAATGACTACATCCATTTAATGCTTTATGATTGAGAGTGCCATCGTTAAACATTTTAAATAGGATGCAAACAATGTTTTGATTCATTTGATTCAAGACAAATTTATTAAATGAATCATATATTATTTAGAAACTTTTAGTCGTGCCACCTGGGTACACTGAATTTTTTTTATCCGATTCCATTCAATATTCTTTATAGTTTGGGGTCCAGTCTGTCTATCTAAAACTTACAGTAAAAGATTCTGTTAAAAGTACTGCTTCAGGCTGCTTTGCATATAGACGTGTGGTGACCTAAGCGTGTCACATGTCACGTGACCTCGTAACAGTAATGTTCATCAATGTAAGGGAGACGTAAGCACTCCTCTCCAACATGTGCTGCTGCAGAGTTCATGTATAACATGGTCGTGGATCATGGATTGCATCTGAACCATCAATACGGATCTGTTACATGCTACACTGGGTTATCATGCAAATGTGATAACATAAAACTGGCCTCTTCACATTTTTAAGGAGCATTTGAAGGAAAAATGTACTGGCAGTTCCGATTCCCGATTGACAAAACAACTAAAACTGAAACTGAAATTTGGTAACAATCTACCTGCAAGTATGATCCCCTGTTTGGACCAATGAGTGAGTGAGTGTAGTTTTACGCCGCACTCAGCAATATTCTAGCTATATGACGGCGGTCTGTAAATAAGTGAGTCTGGACCAGACAAACCAGTGATCAACAGCATGAGCATCGATCTGCGCAATTGAGAACCGATGACGTGTCAACCAAGCCAGCGAGCCTGACGACCTGATCCCGTTAGTCGCCTCTTACATTGTTGCATGGCTATTACATAAGTACATAGTGCTTCTTCACCATGTTTTGTAAAGGTGAAGTGATACACAAAAACTTTGATGCGTTGCGATAACTGGTATTAAAATGATATCCTGCATCTGGAAGCTTAATGATACAAAATAAATACACAATGAAAGTATAACCCTATCAAAGTAGAGATTAAAAATAAATTTTACAAATCAGCTGTTTGGGATAATTTTGACTTTCGTTATTTTAACACGTTAAATGTGTGACTCAGACTCAAGACAGTCAACGGATAAGAAAGTCTGGTGCGATTTTTTCACTCATTGAAAACAAAAAATTGTGTTGTTTTTCTGGCATCTCTGATTTTTCTGATATCTTTCGTATCTTTGCTTTCAGTTTCGCTGCACCCAAACTGATTAGCGTGATGAACACACTCAGACGCTGAAAGCTTCACAACAGCGGAGAATTCCATGAAAATAAGATTCTCCTGTGAACCAGCCAAACATGTCTAACTCATATCAGACTTGAAGCAGGTCAGAATACTTCAGTGAACAGCTCCTACCTGTGGCCTTGGCGTGACCCTGACATTGACTTCTGAGGACGAGGAATCCACTGATATGTTATCCGTTGTCTTCCTTAAATCTTCCACCAAGGGTGTGGAACTCTTCTCTATGGCGTGCTTGTCTGTCAACCACGAATCTCCGTTGGTTTCTGATGATCCGTTCATATGGAAATCAAATTTGGTGCCTAAAATCATGATACAAATAATTAATGGTGGAAACATACTGAAACAAAAGGTTCGATCAATTGATAAGTGGAAATATAGTTTTCCAAGCGGTTAAAGAGGCCTAACTGTCACGATCTATTCTGGAATGGGGCCAAAGACATGAACATACGGTCACTTGACGTTTACCTTTACATCATTGGTCACGTTTTGAACAATCATGCCTTTTACAGATGAAGATTTTCATGCTAATAGAAAATCAGTCATTGACACTGATGTATTCTTTGCCAAATTTTAACTGACAGTTACACATATTTGACATGCAATTCTACATTAGGACCCCCCAAAATATATATCTTTTTCCAGTAACCCCCCGACCCTAAATCTTTTTTTAACCAAGTCAATATCATGACTGGAGCGCACTTCAACTCATCATTTTCATCCAAATCGAGTATGATGTTTTCATGTTTTTCAGTGTACGTAGGATTAAAATGGATTGCACTAAATTGGCTTAATGGGCTCTCACTGACAAAATCTGCAAATGAATAACATAAATAATGATTTGATATAGAAATCTTTCAATGTTTCATCACAAGGCATGGTCACTACATGATATGGTATCCTGGAAGACATTCTCAGGTGCCCACCTGGTGCTACTTATAAAAAAAATTAAAAAAAAAAAGAATAAGAAAAAGAAAGAAAAAGGATATAAAAAAGTATTAAAAAAAGATACAAATTGACCCACCTACCCTATTTTTAAAAAGCATGTAATAGGAAACGGACATATATTTTTTATTGGCCTTATCAACAAGAAGACAAAGTCATCAATATCTCCTGCAATGGTAAAATACTCTTCATGAATATGTCAACTAGTAATGACTATGTCAAATGTTACATTGTTCTATTGAAAACATACACATGTAAACTATTCATATACTAGCATGCTTGTATCAACAACAGACTGGCTGAGTGCTTCCACGGTTTGATGTACCTCAGTAATGTTGATACTGGAAATAGAGTGGTACTGTTGATTTATGTCGTTAGGTTGAATACCTACAAAGTGGAAAAAGCTCTAGAAAGGAGTACAGCCACCAATTTCAGTCGACATTAAGCTTATTGCCATGGAAATGCAAAAACATTTTATTCAGAAATCCAAGTTCATCACCAGACCTATCTATGTGCCAAGTTTGGTAAAGAAACATTGAACGGTTTAGCATAGACCCATGACAAACTGATATCCTAAGATGATCATAGTACTAATATTTAGCATAGACTGTGATAGTTGTAGCTTTAAGACCACTTTAAGGTCCCAGGAAATCATTTAAACAGAGACTTAATGATTTAACCAAGCTATTGGGATCTACTGGTGATTTTGATTTTTGACATAAGGCCATTTATTTCTTGTTTTACACATCCGCCGGTCGTATTTTTTCAAGAATAAGAAAATAAATTAAAATGAATTTTCCCCGCTCCAAAAATAAAATCCAAATGTTTGTAATGGCCAAAAATGTAAACTTACAAGGCATTTTTTAGATTGTTTTTTACAGTATTTTCAGTATCAGATAGTCAAAGTGCTTGGCACATTACATAATAAAAATGCCATAAAATACTTTGTAGGACAACTTGTGTGTGAAAACTTACTTAAATATAACTAGTATAAGGATTTGTATCCAAATACATATACAGGCCTCGATTCAATAGATGTTAACCTACTTGCATCAACATAAAAACCTCCTTTTGCACTGCTTTTATTGCAATTTGTAATGAAAGAAATATGCTATTGAATTATTTAGATGTTTTATTCAGAAGTTTACCCACTCAAAAATTGACTTGCACCTGGTGCAAGTTAGACTAATAACTAGGTTGCACTTTGTAATATTGGGTTGCACCAACGCAAGTAACAAAGCACTAAATCGAGCCCTGATATAAGAATAACAAACACAGTTTTTGTGAACTTGCTTTTGGCAGTAAGGCATGGACAATTTTATTTCTTGTTTTACGGATCCATCGGTCATTTTTTCAAAAATAAGAAAATAAAAATAATTAATTTTTGCCCGCTAAATAAATAAAATCCTAATGCTTTTATTGGCCAAAAATGTAAACTTACCCAGAAAGTGTTTTTAGACTGTTTTTCCCTCATATGTACTTCATAAATAATTTTACTTTAGCATCTAAAAGGAATATCACTTTGACTGGTGATTTTTATTTCCCTCCTGCATTTAGGTGTTCTGAGGAAAAAAATCTGTAAAACAATAAATAAAACTGGTCTGGCCTAATCATGGTTTATGTAAACACTGTCATGTTTAGTCCCCTTGTACCCATTGTGCAAGTACATTATTTATATACTCGAAGCTGGAACTGTTTCTAGAAGTGACTGGGACTTCTTAAATCACAGACTAAATTAATTTATGTAAAAAAAATAAATATACAATGTGCCCTCAGCAATGGAGACCCTCCATGTTCCATGTACAGCTGAAGCATTAGACTGTTGGGCACATACATGCTGCATTAAACCCTGCACACACATGACCACACACTGATGAGGAACACTGCTTCTGTACACCTGACAGGTGTTTTATATCCCATCCTAGGACCACCAATATGAATACATAGAAAAATAGCAATTGTCCAAGAACAAAAACATACATGTAAAATTTTTTTTTGTCATTTGTTAACCAGCTATACAACTTATTTATACAACATGTGATGTGGTTCTCCTACCACTGATGGAACACAGGCTGTGGACAGACTCAGGGGTTGTTCCAAGTATCAGTAACCATGGTAACAACCACATCCACCTATGTCAACAACACTGTAACTAACATCATCTCAACATCTTCAACATCTGGTTCGGTAAAAGTATGGAGCCGCCAGTGGTTCTGTTCTATTAATGACAACAATGAAGTCTGGGCCAGACAATCCAGTGACTGGCATTATGAACATGAAAGGGTCAGGTAACCAAGCAACTGAATCTGGTCCCCTGTCAAAGTGATTCCTGGTAATAAAATGAAATTAATACCAAGTATTTGACGGGCATTTAGAAGTTGGAAAACCATGAACACAAGAAACTGTTAAAAATAACAAGTTCTTTATTCTTGAAATATGGAAATCAAACGCCCAGAGCCCCAGATAAGATTTAGCTCATGTGGGTACAGTACCCATTGTATTTTTTTGTAGTGGGTATTATGAATGTTGAGTCGGTATTTCATTTTCCGTTACCCACTGCTTTCAAATATGTGCGTATTTCGGTCATTTTACTCACCTAAGTATTACGTCATTGAGTAAGTTTACTAAGCAGGTATGTATTGCCTTATGTCATACCTAATCAAAACCAACTTAAATATAATGGAAATGATTTCATAAAAAATCACTCATCCTATACTAACAGTACAACACTTGTCCTATACTAACAGTACAATTTGATAGCAATCGATGTCCTTTTCATTACGCAAGCGATTTTTATTAATATATTCTGTACGCATTTGTTTTAAACTTTTTTCGTATCTAACATCTTAAATGCGTAATTGGTATGCAACAATTATTTTTTCAATGCGTAATTGGAAATTTTCTATGCGTACTTTACCTGGATACTCAGCTTATGTGGGCCTCTGAAAGCCTTTGAAATAAATCCTTACAGTGTAAGTTGTACATTAAATGGATCTTAGACTTCAATGCTGCAGCAGTAATTTGCTTCCCCCTTTAATATTATTGATACACTGACAACTAGCACCTCCTTGCTGCATATACAGATATAACAGCACAAAGCATGTGTTGTGGGTTGGTATCAATTAGGGCTATTATGATGAACTGTATTTCTTCAGGAATTCAATTCATAGAATTGCCTTAAAGTCAAATATGTACGAATTTGTTTTGAAATGGTATTAATTAAAGTAAGATATGCAAACTATATATAAAGTGAATGTATACAAGCTGTGTAGCAGCTAAACTTGTGTCAGTTTGCAAAGTCCCATTTGTATTGTTAACTAAAGTATCAGGCAATGAGAGGCATTGTTGCAAAGTATTGCTTATTTGCTTTACCAAAAATATCACTGAAATGTTTTAGTCTAAGTTATTACAAGACATGTTTGTTAGTTTAGCTCCTATATATGGAACATAAAATATTCATGTAAAATATTCACATCCATCACCCTGTATTCATGAAACGAAATATTTTTGCTTCATTGTATGTTCAATGCGTCCCTAGAATGAATCAAGTCTCAGGACAATCAAGAATCAGAATATATATAATAATAATCAAATATATGTTGTATAAATGTAGTAAGAAAGCAGTGAAACCTAATTTTATATGGTTTCAAAAAGAAGTATTAAAATATTATGAAATCTCAAAATTTATTGCCTTTTCTAATTGTAACTATGCAAGTTTTCATTCTTTCTGGTCATCCTTCCATTTACTTTTTCGAAATACTATAACTGACTGACTATAACTACATGTATTTTGTATATATGTGTACTATATATATAAGAGGTAATGTACACATTATGTATTTACATCAACGCTACTCACTGTACACTTAAAATACTTTCAATTGAAGAACATAAAGCTGCTGTAATGGAAATTGTAACATAAAAATGGAAATTAAAAAAAAGAAAAAAAAAAGAATCAGAATATATTTCATCTTCTATACCACCACCACAATAAAGATTATCGTACAATTGTAATCATCTGTCAGTCATCATCTGGTAGCTGGCTTCATACACACTACTCCATCTCAATAACTATGAACTATCAAAAAAGAGGGTGAACAAAAGGGAAATAAAATGTGACAGAGGAATAGTTTCTTAAAATGATTATTTTGAACAAAACAACAAACGATATTTTGTAATATATTTCGTAACAAATTCATTCCACCACAACCATTCACGTCAATTACTGCCATCACCATGGTTACATATAATAAATTACAGTTAAACTTATTTGCAACATTAATAGTTGTTCTTACAATCCCCTCCACCAGGAATGTGAAACATACAAAGGGAGACAACTCACTAGCTATGATGCCGTCCATCTGTTCAAGAGCAGCAGCCAAGACATCGCTTGCTTCCATATTACTTCCCATGATGCTCGGCACTAAACTATCTCATCATTGTCAAACCAAACTGCAAGAAAACAATATCTTTTGATATTTTACAGTAATAATTACATAAATTTACATAAATTTCAACAAAACAAAAGATCCCTACAATTACAGACAAATGATGAGAATGAAATTATGATTTCAAAAGTGATGCTGTCTGATATTGAGATGACAGCATTGTGGTGGCAGTTATTGGTTAACTCGTGAACATGGTGATGATTGGATGAGGGCATAATAACAGCAATAATCATGATATGAGAGTGATGTCAGTTACATAGCTCTTGGGTAGTGAGGGTAGGATTTGAACAGAACCCCAAATTATATTTCAAGGGTTTTTACAGGAAAAAGAATGTTAGACAAAATGTGAAAGTGTAGTGCACCGTAAGGTACGATATAAAAATACTTATATTACTGGTACATACAGGACTCTTATCATCTATACCCATTTCTGGTGTCCCCACCGTGATATTGCTGGAATATTGCTAAAAGAGGCGTAAAACTAAACTCATTAACACTTATCTATATATTTGTTGAGAACTTTAGTATAATGAATATAACTATGCATGCATCCTTCAGGATGCACTATAATGCTTTCTATACCTGCGTTTTACAAGCCTGCATACTGGATTCTCATTTATACATTTTGTCAAACGCTGGAAATAAGAATAATAAGTGTTTAGTACCTAACTGGTATCCAATAGGGGTGTGTATTGCAGAGAATTTTCATATTGCGATATATTGCGATGCGGAAGCATATATTGCGATATGTATTGCAATATATTGCAAGGATTGTGTTTTTAACAAAAACTACTTATAATTGAGTTAATGCTTGATTATAAAGCAAAAACACAACAAACTCACTATGATTGATTAACCTTTTATAAAAACCTTTAATCATGACAAAATAAAAATGTAAGTAACATTTGGCACTAATGAAACAGGGAAAAGAACAATTAAAAAAAACGGAAATATCCAAAGATTTCCGAGTGTTACGAAGTTTTCCGAATGCATGTAAAATACCGGTTTTCAATCAGCGTATTGCAATACGTATCGTTTTCATGTCTGAACCGGTAAATACCGGTAAACCGTTATATTGCGCAGCCCTAGTATCCAACCATGTATTATCATAAACTCAAAGTTGCCATCAACTGAATGTGAAGATGTTATCCAAAATTTCCATGATTCACTTACAATACATCCATATATACATCAAGGCTCCATTTACCAAGTAAATGATAAGGTGAAACCACTACCACCAGGGTCAGTGGATCACTGTGCACTTGAATGAAGTATAAGTATACACCCAGATATTTTAAGTCACATTGCCATCTCATCCAAATGGGTACAAATTTGCAGCTGAGAGAATTGAGGCCTAGTTTGAACAAGGTAATTTGCCTGAGAAGACACCATGTGAAACATACTTGCCTCAGTGTGCGTGTAAATATAACATATTTGTGGATAACAACATCTTCTTTCAAAACTTTCCCTTTGATATGTACATCTCTGGCATCCACCTCTTATCCTTTTGTTATTCACTAGCTTTATCAACTAACTGCCTGGCTGTGTTCATTACCATATTTCCTCTAATAAGTGCCCAGACACTTATTTTTTCAAAGGACTTCCAGACCCGGCACTTATTACAGACCCGACTTTTAGTGCTCTTACTGGGTATATAGTATAGTTCTTAGTGCGTGTTACGTCAAAGTTAGGGACCATTCCTTAATAAATCTATTTTGGGATCAAGTGAGAATACATTTATTAAAAAAAAACACTTATTGGAGGAAATACGGTATGTTGTTTTCTTTGTTGCACTGGGTATATACACATACCCCTCCCCATGTCAACATTCCTGTTATGATGGCAGTCTGACATTGTGACAGGAGCCGAGTCTGGACCATACAATCAGGTGACTGATATTCTGAGTTATGATCCACACATTCAGGATAAGATGCTAAACTGTTACAATCAACCACGTAAGGGACTCTGACCACCAGGGATTGGGAAAGGCAGGGGCAATGGGCCATTTTGGACATTAGAATAAAAAATGGCCCATTAAAATTTTGAAGTTTACTATTGGTACAAGGGCAGTGGCCCATTTTAAATTCAGAAAATGGCTAATAATCCTGAAAATGGCCCATTGTCAAAGTTCTCTATCCCAATCCCTGAGACCACCAAGCCCATGAAGTTGCATCGTAGAACCAACACAGGTCCTGGGCATCTATTATAACCTAAAAAACCCATGCAGTACATTAATCTAAAAACAACATCAAAATCTAATACTGGGAATCAATTCGTTGTGACCTGAAAACATTATAATAATGATAATAAATAAAGAATAATGTTATCAATTCCATAATGATGATTTATATATATTGTTAAAAAAGTTGAAAAACATGATAAATTCAATGCACAGCATGCCACAGTAAATTCAATATTATTCTTCTAAAATAGGCAAAATATAAGGCAAAAGGCTTCTTATTTTCCATATTAATAATATAAACTATTAACGGCATATTTGAATGTTCAGTGTTGATAGAAGTGAATTAGGGTACATTGTACATGACATATTCATGTAAAATGAAGTGACTGTACCCAGTGATGCAAGCAGCCAACCTCAGTGATGTGAAGTGCCCACAATGTTGTGATGAAGTAGGTCAGTGTAATAATTAATTTATTCCAGCCTAGGGTGCTCCTCCTGGGTCTCACTCTCACTTAGAACACAACAGATTTTGAGACCAGATAAACATGTCTTTAAAATACAAAACTTGGAAACTGTCTACTTTTGCAGAAGCAATAAAACATTTAACAGGATATTAATGTCAAAATTATAATATTACTCAACTGTAAACATATTTTTATCTTTCCACAATACACAAAAATGACTCATATCAAGTATTTGCATAAACACGTTGGACATGTCAGGTTCTGCCCTTCAAAACTTAAGTGATAGATTTATGTAATGTACAGTTCGCAACAACTTACATTTTGGTGTAAATTAAAAATTGAGAAGACATTTATAACTAATTTGAGAAATGGACAAGCTTCAAAGAAGGTCAACAGGAAAGTAATGAAACTCCATGTCCTGTAATTAAATTCATTTTAAACATTTACTTTATGTGGCAGACAATTCTTTGGAGGCATCAAAAAGTCAATTAACTCAGTGCCCAAGTAAAAGAGAGTTAGTGAGTGAGTTTACTTTTACGCCTTTTAGCAATATTCCAGCAATATCATGGCGGGGGACACTAGAAAATGGGCTTCATACATTGTACCCATGTGAGGAATCGAACCCGGGTCTTCAGTTTGACGATCGCTTTAACCACTAGGCTACCCCACCACCCTGCCTAAGTAAGAGGATTCTTTGCTGTTTTGTTTTTTTAACCTGAACGTCTATAGCTCATGTCATGGCCATTTTTAACTGTTGTTTACTGAAAAGTGTTACTAAATGGATGCTTATATGTACCGTGATACATACAAAGGAGGTGATACAACAACCTTGGGGCAGAAGTGACATAAGATAAGAATGCAATATATACTACTCAACTTTTGTTAGGGATCACCAGATAGTCTCTGTTTAGATAAACACGTACAAGACAACATGAGAATCTGCTTTGTGTACCGCGGAAAGATAAAAAATGTTCTTAGCAAAACTAGAGTATACATAGAGACGAATTAGTGATTTTTCAATCTGATATATCAGGAATGTTTACAGTTGGTTCTAACACTGTTTAGCACCACCCTGAGCAGTATTTTGAGTTGCAGATGTCATGGCAGCTTGATACTGGAGGAAAGTCTGTGGTCATACAAGCGTTAGACCTGAAGCTCTTTGTGAGAGTCATAAGTATAGATATGGTGCAGGGGTGGAAATAACCCATTGCCCAACAAGAAAAGGGCCGGGATAGTGGAAAAATTATCAGGGAAGTGTTTTTACATGTGCCACTGTACCGGAGTACACTAGCAATTTTAAAGTTATTTCCACCCCTGTGGTGCTGGGAAGCAAACATAATCATGAACAATTAGGATTCAAACCCATGACTATATAGGTGCCAGACACATTAAGGGGACGTAACTGTGTAAAAGGAATAGTATTGTCTCAGTAAAATACACCAACTGTGCTTCAACAGAAATGTTATCCCATTTTAAAATTATTTGTGGAATGTTATCAATTTATAACACATGTTGGTATATGATATCAGAACCATAATAAGGCATAACATCAACTCGACACATGCAACACTTTAGTCTACTGGGCCACCTGTGCTCTCAGTATCTATCTGTTAAAAATGGTTGTTGGAGTTGTGATAGACTAACAACTAGTCTCTGAAATGAACATATTTTACTGAAAAAAGTTCATAGTAAAAAAATATATAATAAAATGAAAAGGAGCCCTGAAGCTGAGGAAATCTAGACTTGCCACATTTTCTAGACTTGCGTGGACTTTCTTGGATATATTTGCTTCAGGGTCTGTACGACAGACTAAGAGTTGTGGCTAAGGCATCACTAATATGTACAGGTAGTGTTCCCAGTCTATGGGCAGGTGTTGAGACAAAGGAACAAGCCGACATGTTAGGAGAACAGAGCAAAGAAACACTGACCGTAACTAAACTTAAACCAATTCAAATTAAGTTATAAATAGACAAAGACAATTGTTTTAAACTGGTGACAGATATAACTTGGAATGTGTTAAGATATTTTAGCCTGAAACAAAAAAACAACAAAAGGCCACACCCTAGTCAGAATATACATGTTCTATGCAAGACACATCAAGTTGTTATCCATAAAGTATGCTTCATTATACATTCCAGGGAGGTGTATTTTTCTTACAGAACATGTTGACTGACCATCCAGGACATGGTAGGTAGATCCACACCTTATAATGGGGAATACCTTATAATATTGCAGGTCTCCTCGTTCATGTTACTCTGAGTCTGACTTCGAGGTCTGGCTTCTCTGAGAAAATACTTCTGTCAAAGTTCGTAAATATTCCCAAACATAAAACATATATTGGAGAGTAA